GGCTGCGGGGAGCCTGGGCAAGCCGGCCTTTGGACAGGCCCAATCCTTCCAGGGCCCCTCCTGGCCCACCCGCCTCGGAGTCACTGGGTGTGTGTGTGTCGCTCTCCAGGCCTTCCCTCTGTAGCCATGCACGTAGAGGTTTTGGCTGTATTGGGCATGGCCAACTCTGAAGCCAGCTGGAACTCCGTTCCTGTGTGTTCCTGCCCAAAAATAGCCCTGTAGCAGAAGCACCAACTACATAGGCCAGTTCCTCAGCCATACTCCTTTAGCACCTCATGAGTGAGAATTGAACAATTATTTCATCTCCCTGATTTTTCAGTGATGGGGCACAACCTGTAAGCCGCCCAGAGACCCTTAGGGGTTAGGGCGAGATAGCAAATCAAATAAATAAATAAATAAATAAACCGGTATAGATCTGTTCATGACAGATGCAAACAAGAAATGGGCCCTACTCTGTTCCCAAGCAGCCCGGCATCCCTACTCACTCGGAGATGCTTTCCAGATTTCAGTGGAGAGGTGACATGCACTACACCTTTCCCCTGCTCCTGCTAATTTCACAAATGCCGCGCAAGATGAGCGTGGAGAACACAATGGCCCTAAAAATAGCCCTGTTCTGGATGAGGCATGCATGGTTCCCCATGCTGCTCAAGGTGTCTCAAGAGATAATTGATCATTGCTTTCCAGAACCCGTAATAGAGTAGCATTAAATGCTGAGGTAGCAGTAAAGGGAGCTCATACTGCTCAAAATGGAAGTGCTTCCAGTTACGGGCCAATGAGAAACAGACCCAGTGTCATGCCCCCTCGGTCAAATTTTTGACTCTTCTACTTAGTAGGAGCATGTCCTCATCCTTGGTCAAGGTACATCTGACAAAGAGAGCCTACTTCCACACACACTCACATTAGGGGAGGGGGGGGGGAATCAGTCTACATCCAAAGAGAATCCAAAGTGTTCCTCAAAGGCCTGTTAAACCAATTCCCACCAGTCCAAACCATGGGTGTAGACTCCTCAGTTTCCTAGTGGGGGGCACAAATCTTCTAGGATTTGAAAAATGGACTGAAGTGCAGTTCTACTATTGCCCACTGCTGCTGAGGAATTGGTAAGAAATGGGGAATGACTCTGTTTCTATGACGGAGTCCCCAGCCTGGTGCCCATGGGTAGCATGATGCTCACTGACACCTTTCCTGGTTCCATGCCAAGTGTGTTAGAAAGTGGGCAGGGCCAGGTGGGGCTTTTGCCCAGCAGGGCTTCTGATTGGCTATGCACATTTTTAAAAATTCTGTTTTGGCAGCACCTACCACCACAACAGAAAAATCTTCATTATATGACTGAAGGTAGGCTGCAGAAGCCATTTTATGGCTGGCTCTGCCTCTTGCGGCAGGCATTTTGGGACTGTGCCCCCTTCCGCACTGCATCAGAGTCTCAAAGGTGCCACATGTTCAGAAAGGTTGGGGAACCCTGGTCTAGGAGGGAGAGGGTTACAAGTTTAACAAGGAAAGTATTTTGGAAGATAAATAAATTAAGCAATATTGTTGGAGCAACAAAATGAGTATTTATTGAATTTAGACTACAATAAAAATAATTTAGGGTTTGGGTGGTTTTTTTTTTACACATTTTAAAAGGAAAAATTGCAAACGATTCTAAGAGAAGCAGTTTATGAGCTTGGACATTGCAATTTTAACCTCAGTAGTACTACAGAAATGTACATCTTGGAAAAAAAATCATAACCTAATTTTACACACTCGGCTTCTATTACTAAAAACACACATGCAGGCTAAATGCCACTGATTCTGCAATTCAAGGATACACTGGATGTGTAACACACATCAGTCTAATCTTCATATCCCATTTCTAGGTTCTTGTCAATAAGTACATAGAAAAAAGTGTGTCAATTACCTTGTTTTCAGTGCAATTTAAATGTTTTTTTTTTAAGTACTGCAAAGCTATTGAGAATTATGGACGTGATCCTGTGTACAGTTATGCAGCAAAGCAGCCCACACATGCAATGACCTGGATCCTTGATGCTTTTCTGCTCATGCAAGGCAGCATCAATTCTCTCCTTCTGCAGCCTTCTGGAAAGCTACTCTGGAGTCTCCCCTACTCTCTGGAGACTTTACTGGAGGTAGAGGGACTTTCCCAGAAGCAAGCAGCTCCCCTTCCTATTATGTAAGCAGATGTGCTTTCTTTGCTTACATGTTAGGATTCTGGCTCCAAGCCAATGCAAAACCTCAGTGCTATTTCAGTTTTTACTGACATCACTAGTTAAATTCAGTGGACATTAACAGATTCAGAATGTGTATGTTTCGAAAAACTAGGGCTGGATCCCCCAGTCATGTGGTCCAGGATTCTCTATGCAGGCATGTTGGAAAGGGTTCCTCTTCCCATATATATGTATTATTTATGACTGAGCATTCCATTTCATATAGTTTCATATAATCTGTCGAAAGAGGACAACTCTTGTGCTCAAACTGACACACAGTGGGGGCTGGGTGAGCTTCCATTTCTCCACCATGTCGAGAGATGCCTCAGTCACATGACTGTGAATCAGCCCTTAGACCGCAGGCGGAAGTAAAATTATGCTCCATTAATCCGTAGTGGTTAAGTGCGCGGACTCTAATCTGGGAGAACCGGGTTTGATTCCCCACTCCTCCACTTGCACCTGCTGATGTGACCTTGGGTCAGTCGCAAGCTCTGGCACAGCTGTCCTCGAAAAAGAGCAGTTTGTGTCAGAGCTCTCTCAGCCCCACCCACCTCACAGGGTGTCTGTTGTGGGGAGGGGAAGGGAAAGGAGTTTGTAAGCCGCTCTGAGACTCAAAGTGAAGGGCGGGGTATAAATCCAATCTCTTCTTCTTCTTCTTGAGTTCTCATATCTATTAAATAAACACCCCTATAATATAAGACATATATTTTAAAAAGCCGCTATGGATGTAGCATCTTATTGCTTGCAGTTTTCTGCATGATTTCTCACTAGTGGTCTTAAGCCACTTATAATACAATCCTAAACAAGTCTAGTCAGAGATAAATCCTACCAAGTTCCAACAGGATTTATTCCCATCTAAATGTGCAAAGGATAACAGCCTTACTGTTATAAAGTTAGGGCAGTTTTACTGGCTAAGTATTAACTATTACAGTCACTGCATTCACTTGGCAACTCTGAAATTAAAAATAAACTAGGAAGGAATTTTAAAACTTTTTAGTTTTGCATGCTAGTTAGCCAAACATATAGTGCATCTTTATAAACAATACCCTGCATACTGTGTCATGCACTATATGACAAAAGGATTTTTTCCCTACTTTTTTTCCCTACAGATTTACTGGTATATCTAAAGAAATTTAAAAAATATGATACATAATGTATTTTTAGAGCATGGAATGAATAAATAAACTAGGAAATATTCTCAATTCCCTTCTGCAATAGTGTCCATAATTAAACCATTTAAAGGCAGCAGGTAAAAACAGTTAAGACTATGATTCTCATACCTGTTAAAGAAAATTACTAATTTAACTAATTATACTTGGGGACACCTGGATTAAATAAAAAAAGCTGTGTTTAGGTGGCCTATAGACTGTCTTTTTAAAAAACAAGTCATAGATCTAGCTATATATCATCAAAATTCCTTGTTTTTGGTGTAGTGGTTTGGTGCCAGTTAGGTGTAGTGGTTAAGTGCGCGGACTCTAATCTGGGAGAACCGGGTTTGATTCCCCACTCCTCCACTTGCACCTGCTGATGTGACCTTGGGCAAGCCATAGTTCTGATAAGAGCTGTTCTTGAAAAAGAGCAGGTTCTGTCAGGGCTCTCTCAGCCCCACCTACCTCACAGGGTGCCTGTTGTGGGGAGGGGAAGGGAAAGGAGTTTGTAAGCCCCTCTGAGACTCCTTTGGGTAGTGAAGGGCGGGGTATAAATCCAATCTCTTCTTGTTGTTGTCAATTGTTTAAAACATTAATCTGCGCTATAAGAGCTCCTTAACTTACATTATTTCAAAAACTTGGGTTGGATTCAGACTAAATTTTCATGCAAGGCACTTCTGTCATTGGGACAGAACATTCCTGCATCCTGTTCTCCCGCTGCAGCCCACTGATGTCCCTGAAATGCTGCTCCTGGAGGGCTCTCAGGGGGTCTGCATCAGGAAGACACAGTCGGTGGGAATCACCCCACCCCCTTCCATTAGCAGAAATCTTCGTCTTAGATCCAGCCTCTTAAGTCTGGCTACACGGCTTTCAGCTACGATATTATTGTCTTCTGCTTCAAAACAAACCTGATCTCACATTTCCTACTCAAGGTATATTCACATTATAACATCTCATGGAAATAGTTTCCCCACAGCTGTTATTAAAGGCACATTCACTAGCGTAAAAAAAAAAAATTAAGAAAAAAGATCGGCAATTTAAAATAAAATAAATACAATTAAAATGCATTTTTAGAATACATTCACATTTTTGCAGACTTTTGTAACCTAAACATATAAAGTGAAATGGCTGGATGCAGCCTAGGGAACTACACATGCAGCAGGCTTATCCCCAGTTGGATATACAGACAGATGCTGTGTGTGCAGTTCCTCACCGTAGCAACAACTGGAACTGTGTATGCCAAGTCCTTCAAAAGAAAGAAAGAAAAGGTTGAATTCTACCATGCAGATGTTTGGAAGAGTGAGACGCTGGCCTTTTTTCTTCCTTGCCAAACTGCTGGATAAACAGGACCTCAACCTTTTTTGAAAGGGCTGTGTGTGCAGATCCAGTTAAGAACGTAAGAAGAGCCCTGCTGGATCGGACCAATAGTCTATCTAGTCCAGTACCCTACTACACACAGTGGCCAATCAGTTCCTCTGAAGCGCCAACAGCAGCGCATAGAGGCTGAGGCCATCCCCTGATGTTGCCTCCTGGCTCTGGGATTCAGAGGTTTAGTGCCTCTGAATGTGGAGGTTTCCCTCCGCCACCATGGCTACTGGCCACTGATAGACCTATCGTCCATGAATCTATCTAATCCCCTTTTAAAGCTGTTTATCCCTGTGGCCATCACTACATGCTCTGGCAGCGAATCCCACATTTTAATCACTCTCTGCTCCTCACATACTACTTTGGATAAGGGAAAAGTGTTCTTTAAATATCACACATGACTGTTTAGAAAAAGATCCCAAAAGGATGACTCTCCATGTCACCGTCACCCATCCTAGTGAAGTGAATGAAACTTATAATAGCAGCAGAGCACTTGCAGGATTGCAGCCAAAGATGATAAAATGTTGTGTGCTGTTATAGATGGTAGATGTTTGGCTTCGTTATTTTCTGCTCTTTCCTTATATAGTTTCCAAAAAAGAAAAGAAAAGTGCAACAATGGTGACTGAAGGTGGAATTGTTTTTGTGTTCATCTCAGCAGATCTTGATTTCGAAACTGCTTCCAAAGCTTTCTGAAGTGCTTGCTGGTGACAGTCATCACACAAACATAGTAGTCCTTCAAACTGTATTTAGGGTTTTCCTGTCAAGAGACAGAAAAGCAGCCTTAAATATATCCATGGAAAAGAAAGAAGCATTAAAGGATGTATGCGAGTAAATTGTGGCTGTCAACATCACCATGTATGTTTAAAACAAAACAAATAATCCAACATATCTGTGGCCTGTATAGAGGAAGCTAAAAAATCTCTTACAACTCTATTTCCCTCTCTTTAATGCATGGGTAATAATTCTAACAAGTAGTTAAAGGGTGACATCTTGGTTCAGTCCATTTCAAGGTATGCTTTTTTCAAAAATCATGTCTCAAGTTTCTTTTTTTCATAAACCAAAAGTTTATATTTTTTAAAAAAATTCCTGAACTTTGTTTCCCGTTTGTAAATTACAACTCACTCAAAATAACATATTGTTTTGTCTTAGCTAAAGGAAACACAGTTTCCATGGACAAGCATGAATACAACAGTCTGTTTTTCCCATTAAAATCAATGGCACTTACATGAACATGGTGTTTAGGACTGGTCTGCAGCCTGTGAGAACATATTAACCAGAATAAAGCAAATTCTTTTGGGAAAAATTAATTTTTACTCATTATCTGTAGTGTAACATGGGAAAAAACCCAACAACCTGGCACTTGCTACATGCAAAAGTGGCACTAATAGGAAAAAATAATCCCTCCTCTCTCCCCTTCCCTCCCTAATTTTGATCAGTGGATTATACATTTTCAGTACCAAACCTATTATGCATGTTTTAAATTATGCAGTACCCTCCACTGTAAAGCTGAAGCACTGAAATGCTCTTGCCAGTAACCTTAGGAACACCATGCAGCAAAGACATACCATTTTTATCTGCTATTGAGTTCTTTCTTCACGCAGGATTTGAAAGTAGTGTATTTCTGTATGCCTCTGTAACCCTGAGAAGCAGAAGACAAAGAAGTGTGCATGTGCAGGCAGCGTGAATGGAGCCAAAGGTGAGTGTTAGGAGAGCAACATGAAAATATAAAAGACTGAGATGAAATAGTAAACACGATGTGTTAGTCATAGAATAGAAAGTTCTGCAGAAATGATTTTAGATTCTAAAGTCATGCACCTTTAAAGCAACTGTCTACAGGACAATTATTGCTTTTCAAATTAAGAACAGCAGAATTTTTATCTTGGCAAGAAAGAAAAAAACTATGTTTTATAACAAAGATATGGAACCTCCATCGTAAATAAAATGTGACAAAGCATTCATTGTTGAATTTCATTCTCCATTCACAAGGTGGCGGCTGAACATCAGATCACGTAAAGAAAAAAATGATTTAAATTATGATGACTCAGCAGTTACACAAGTAATATATTTGCAAGGAAGAGATGTACCTTCAGAAGTAAGGAACAATGTATTTCTTTCTTTAGAGCCATGCTATAGGTAAATTGATTAAAATACATTCTTATTCTCCAATCACTACTATGACAATTAGGTCTTGAACTCTATTATGGCAGTTTTTTAAAAAAAAATATTTGGAATACAAGAAAGGAAATCACCACATTTGAAGGAAGATATAAGCCTTACTGATTCGCCCATTCAAAATACTAAAAAACAAGACCACATGTATTGATTCCTTCCTAGATAGTTATCATTATCAACCTAAAATGTTAAATCTTATATTTCAGGTTTAAAAATAAATCCCACCCATAAATGTACTGTGTTTCTGATAGTCACAGAAGGATGCACATCACTGAAACCTGTAAATTAAATGCAAGATTAAGTTATCGTAAAAATTCATTTGCATTGATTGCAATTTAATCCATTTCTTGTCTCTAGAGGGCAGTCAGGCAACAGATAAAACCTCTAAAACCACTGTAGAGGTGACTGACTGACAAGAGGTTTGAAACAGCAGTTCTGCAGTCCATAAAATGCAATAAATGAATCCTGCTAAATAATGAACTGAACTAAGGATCTACTTGATGAACTATAGGCTAGATTAAGTCATGTCTGTAGACATGGCTACAGGAAAGAAACCAAACACTGGTTCTATGTGAGCACAGTTTCATCATTCATAATAACCTAAATTAAAAACGAGCACTATTTCCATTATTTTATTTCTATTTATTTATTTCTCAAATTTATACCCCGCCCTCCCAGCCAAGGCCGGCTAATTACAAGACTAATGTTAATGCTTTTTGTAACAGATAACATTTGTTTTTTTAAAAATAAAATCTATGCAACCTTGTATCAAAATTGCTTATAGAAACGGTAATGTTTCTATAAGCTTAGTTTACAGGCTTGTTTACATAATTAGCCCAACTGGAATATAATGTTCCGTATTCTTACCCTGGATCCTCGATTCAATCTGTCTTTCATAATACCGATAAATTCTTTGTAGCTCAGCTGATCATCTTTGTCTACATCGAAGATTTTGAAGACTGTGTGCACTAAATGTGCTGAAAGCTTCAAACCCGTAGCAACATATACAGCACGCTTGAACTCATCTAAAAGGAGCAAGCATACACAATGGTGATGACATCATTTGATTAGCATACAAAAACCTGGCTTCTATCAGACATATATGAGCATTCTGTCTTCTAGTAGCACTAATAGCACAAGCTGGAAAGCCAAACAACTTACTCTGATTTTATATTTCTCCAGCTTATCGCCTGAAAGTTAGCAACTGCTAGCAGAAAGAATGAGCATTGCATGTTCAACTACCCCTTCTGCTCTGCTAATCTAACCACAGGCTATTATTAATATTGTATTTAATTTTCAGAATTCTATCTGACTGTTCCTTCAAGGATGTCAAAAAGGAGGTGGTAATATCCTGATGGGATCCAAGTTCTTTCTTCAAGCCACAGTTCCTCCTTCTAAGTGTACCATTGTAAGCACCTGAGATAAGAGGAAACAGAGCCATGGCCCTGTGATAGAATATACCTTTCCATTCAGAACATCTTAGGTTTGGTCCTGGCACCTTCAGTTAGAGCAAACCACAGGTAGAACAGGCAGCACTGAGACAGCTGAACCAACTGTCTGACTTGGTATAAGACAACTTCATATGTTCACTCTGGCATATGCCCAGTGTTAATTATTGAAGCTTCTGCAGGAAGACTGGTTCAGGCACTAACAACAAACTGTCATTTTGGTTTTATATACCAGAGAAGTATAGGCTCTTAAATGCCAGACATGCAATAGAAAACTAAGATTTTCTTTCTTAGAAACATTTTTATACTGCCTTTCCTGTCCAGCTCAGTGGTTTCAAAACAAATATGCCTTAAAAACTATTTAAAATCTCAAATTGTTAGCCAGCTACCAAAGAGTTTTAAACAAGTAAAAAAAAAGGCTCTCTGAAATAGCTCTACTTTAACAAGCTCTACCAAAAGAGTACAGAGACAACACAGCCCTTCCCACAAAGGTCAGTACATTCCAAAGGAGTGCAGTACCACAGATTAAACTCTTGCACAGTTTGTAACTGATCTCACTTTCTTCAGAGAAAGGAAGGGCAACAGACAACTCTGGAAAGATTAAAGAGTGCAGTTATCATCACACAATTTGTTTAAGGAGAGGTTACATGCGTTGCAAAGGGTTTGAAAAGGTCAAGACCAGCACTATGAACGGAACTTGGAAATACACTAGCAGCCAATGTAGTTGATCTAATATAGGTATAATATAACTAGGTCCAATCAACAGGAATGTTGCTACATTTATTGGACTTTTCTGGTTGTCTCCAAACAATACCCCATATAGAGTACATTGTAGTAGTCCAGCCACAAGGTTACACAGCATGGATCTGCATGGTGAGATCACCCGAGTCAAAGAAGTAAAGGAATTTATGAGCCAAATGCAAAAGGAACAAAGCCCTTCTAGCGCCAGGAGGTGCTTTAGGTGCTAGAACTGTCAGACTTAATGCATGGATTAAATATGAAAAATGTGAATTCTAAAACAAGTACCAAATATACACTGTATGGTCTTACTTTGAGTAGAAGCAGCACTGGATTGCCATTTAAATTTTATACCCCAGGGAATTATATTTTCAAATACTTAATGCACCAAGGACGACAATGTGGGAAACTATCTGTCCCATCCCAAGCAGTTACATCCTTCTAAGTCCACTGATGTCCACAGGCTTAGAAGTGTGCAAGTCTGCTTAGGATAGGCCTATATAAAGCCATATCTCCCAAAACAAAGTGAATTCCATGAGCAAACAATGGAAAGAAAAAGTAGCAGGATAAACCCAATGGAACTGCAATCTGATAATATGGAGACAATGTAGATCTAAAGGGATAAGTAGTTATTCCTATGAAGGAAGAACACACACATGCAGCAAGATAGCTATCTAGCTCTATCTTGCATGTTTATTAGCTGGTGGAAAAAAGCTTGCTTACAGTTAGATGCATTATGTCTCCTGGGTAGCATTACTCTTGGAACTTCTGTGAGGTGGGGAAGCAAGAAGGATGAGTATTGCTAATGTTATCACACAGTATTTTCCGAAGAGTTGGAACCAACAGCACATGGTACATAAATGCCTCAAAGCCATACATTAAAAAATTGCCTTTAATGCTGAAATTAGATATTCTTACCTTGTCCAATTGAACGGCTTGCAAAATTATACATCTGCATGGCAATTGCAAAATCTTCTAGATTGTTCAAAAACTGGAAAAATGACCTGAATTCATCAAATGTAATACCCTGTTGAATTTTTTAAAAAGTCCATATTAGTAAATTATAAGGAAAGGGTGCAGCAACTCCTTGCTTAACTGGCCATAGCTGCCTTACAACTGATAGGAAGCAAGCAAAGGATGGAGAAAATTCCTTCCCCTCACCACACATCTGTAACACTGTTTTTGTCCTAAGCTTCGCTTGCTACCCATTGCTCAATATTTTAAACCTCTTGACACTACACTTAGTTTAACTATAGTAATTCTTAAATTGAAATGTCAGATAAGGAATTAGAAATAGTTAAAATAAAATGCTCAGAGATATCCCGACCTCCAATATTTTGACATTTGTAATGAAATGCATACATTAAAATTGTTCAAGCTGAAACTGGCTATTCTGGAGTAAGGCTTCTGAGTTAAAGCATCTGTGTTGGATCCAACCAGCCTTTTCGCTTAGTCTTATTTATTTTTCCCTCCTTACTACAGCCCCCACTTCCTACATAGATTTCATCCAATGATCCTCAGTACTTATTTAGTCTGAAGCCACATTCCTCTGAAGTTTCTCTCTTTTAATTTTAAATTTTAATGCACCTTAGAGACTCTAAGTGAAGCATGCTTGTTAGCCTGCCTCTGGATTGTGTGACACATTATTCAGCAATGTTCTTCTATATTCTCACTTATAAAGTACCTTCTGCAAATGCTGATTTTTCTTAAAAACAGCAACAACAATGCCTTTGGACAGTTCTAGCTTGAGAACATCTATTCCAAGAGTTTAACATCAGTAATATAAAGAAAGGGAACACAAAAGAGACACATCCTCCAAATGGGGGTGAAAGAGACAGTCCAATGTCACATGAACCACCCAGACTTGTATCACATTCCCATCCATTAACAAAGCCTTTCAAAAATCCCACAGCCAAAGAATACCCAGTTTTCAACTGGGGCCACTGCTGATGGGGAGAAGATGCTGAGCCTTCTAAGTTTGTTTTCTCTCACCCACTGCTCAATTCTGTTCTAAGGCACAAAAATTTACATAGCATAAATGTTTAAAAACCAAAACAGAACACAAACAGGTTTCTTTGTTCCCTAACTCTGCCTATGTCTTTTCTGCGTGCTTCCTCTGAGTAGGTGGGGGACAACCATTAACATAAGTACTGTCATGTCCTCTTCAAGCTTGTAACAGCTATTTATTTATTTTCTTTTTCAATGCTGCGCTGAACAGTAACACACACATTAATGTTGTGACTTAGTATTGTGTTTTTATCTATACCTGTTGAGTACCCTCTCTATGTACTAGTATCAATCCACTCTGGCTGTTTCAGTACAAGCTCTTAGACTGCCACTTTTGAGGTTAACTGCTAAGTGATGCTTACTGTTTCTCGCTTACTGTTTCTCTTTTAAAGCTCCACAAGGTAAAATGTAAACACTGTAGAAAAGTGTAGCCATTCGATAAAAAGTCAAACTGTTTACAAATATTTCTAAAACTGTTAAATCTGATCCTTTTTGCAAACAAATAGAGCAAACTACACCCAAAGCATCTTATGCTTAAAAGAGTCTTACTGGTTTACATTGATGCATTCAGCCACCACTGGATCTTATTAATGCTCAGATTCATTGCTACGAAATTTGTTTCCTAACAAATAATTAACTAACAATGATGCACTTGCCCAAACACTCTGAAAACTTCTATTCAGACACCAATAAGCACTATTCACTCATCAATGGCCTTTGACTGCTAAGATTATTGGAGAACTAAATAAAAGGTGTTAGTATTAGCCCTTCCGTTTAGAATCTGCCTGTTCAGGCAGAAATAGTAGAAGGAATAGTATTTTTTACACAATATGAATGGCTAAAAGTTTGCAGTTATATCACATTGCAAGTCTCTGATCAATTTATAATCCCTAAAGACTGAAATCAAGTAAATTTGTTCTGTTGTTATCATGTAGTTGGTTAATTAAATACTTGGTCATTCTGGGTAGATTATGTTTAGTTTTGTAAATCAAAAAATAAAGAGGCCATAGTCTATGCATGGGTCCTACTTTACAACTGCATGGGTCCTAAGTGTGGAAACTTACCTGCTCTTCTGGCATGCTACAGCGCACGTTTTCCAGATAGCTTGATATATTTTCAACGTTAGTATATCTTAAAAGAATATGAGCAAAGTCTTCCTCACTGATGGTATTCATCCCATTAGAGTAGGAAAGGAATTCTATTTCAAGAACTTCAGTCTGAAGGTTATCCATAAACCTAAAGCAGAAAAATACTGATATTCTTAAGAGTTCCTTTGTGCAAAAAAGCAAATATACAGAATATTCAAACCCTTGTTTTAATCATTTTGCTCAATAGCAAAACCGTTGACAGATGTTTGGTTTGATGTTATATAGTACCTAATTCTTCAAGTAGAATAAAGTAATCCTCTGCTAAATTAATCTTAGTTCGCATCAGAATCTAAATCCCCTCCAAAGATTTCTTAGGTTTGTTGCACTATCTGTATGGCTGCAATCCTATGAAACTTAATTTGGAAGTAAGTCCTAATGAACTCTATGGGAGTTACTTTCAGAGTAAACATGCATACAATCAGCACATAAAATTGAACTACTGCTGGTATCAAGTATAACAAACCCACTGCAGTGAAAGAGAAGAATAGATAAAGAAACAGAATGAGCAAATTAAGTATATTCCATGTGGGAATGCTAAGCAAGTTCAGTAGGATGTACGATACAGGTACCAGTGCTACAGTGTGACTCAGGAGAAATCACCACTTACACTCTTTTAAAAAGCACACTAGCTTGAATACTATCTAGCATCAAAACACAAATTTACCTGCCCATGTACTGCCTTGAGCTTCCTGGTTGTATAAAAACCAAAACCAAAATACAATACAACAAAAATAAGTAAATAACATTTTACAATTATGGCCTGATCATATTGACTCAGAATTAAATGTATTTATATTATTTAATATGCCCTGACCTGGATAGCCCAGGCTAGCTCAATCTCATCAGATCTCGGAAGCTAAGCAGGATCAGCCCTGGCTAGTATTTGGATGAGAGACCTCCAGGTAATACCAGGGTCAAGATGTGGAGGCAAGCAATGGCAAACCACCTCTGAACATCTCTTGCCTTGAAAACACTACAGGGTGGCCAAAAGTCAGCTGTGACTTGACTGCACTTCTACCACCACCATAATGTTGAGAGATTTTGCACATCTGGGCCATTTGAAATGAATATACAGAGGTGGTAATGTCAACTCTAGTGTTAACTTTACATCCAAACAATATGGTCCCGTTCACACTGGCCGATTTGAGCCGGGAGCGGGACAGTTCGGC